TATTTCTTCACATTCTGACTTTTATGATTTTGTTGCGGGTCATTGACTCCAAACGTATAAAAACCGGAAGCAGTCAGACACCTAGTATTTGCAGGAAGGAGTGAGAATGGCAGCTATTGTACTTCTCAATGTAGGTTTTCTCCAACCTCACCTGTTTCTTTCCCATCTGCCTCTGAATGCATGATGCCAGAGAGTCCTTACACGCTGCCCAGCTTCCTGATAGGCTGGGCCGCTGACTCCATGCTTACTCGTCACCAGGCAGCTGGGCTTCCCAGCCAATCAGGAAGCTGCCTGGTGACGAGTAAGCATGGAGTCTACTTCCCTGCCAATCAGGAATCGGGGGTGAGTAATGACTTTCCCCCACGGCTTCCTTATTGGCTGGGAAGCTCCACTTTGTGACAAGGGAGCATGGAGTCTACTTCCCGGCCAATCAGGAAGCCGGGCAGTGTGTAAAGACTCCCCACCGTCCATCTTCCTGGTCGGGAAGCTGGGCAGTGAGTCATCACCCGCTGGAAGACGGCTCAATGCACCCTCATGACCTGGTGACAAGGGAGCATGGAGGCGGCTTCATTACACGCCACCTAGCTTCCTTAATGGGAGTTCCGGTATCGGCATTCAGCATCAGCGACTACCGGAAAAAAATATTGGTACTCGATACTGAAAAACCAGTATCGGTGCATCACTAGTATTTATAAAGCAATGAATGTCACTTTCACCAAACATTCACTGGTTGTGAATCAATTACTGTCATGTAAAACACGTGCACTTGGAAGATGCACCTGCAGTACTTTATACAGTAAATCTGTTCCTATGTGTGATTGCAGTGCTGTTTCTTAGTGAATACTGGCTTGTAGTGTTCCTTATTGTTATAGGTGATTATCCACATATAGTAAGGAATATGGAAGGCCGGCTCAGACTAGTGTCTTGTGTTATACAGCGTGATCTGGACTGATACAGACAGCACCTCCTTCAGGCCTGGTTCACACCTGTACGTTTTGTAGCGCGTTCAATGCTCTACAAAACGCTCAAACATGAAAATTCCATTGTTTTATATGTGTATGGTTCACACCTTGCCGTATTTCAGCCCGTCTGAACGCGCTACATAACGGCCTACGCCTTAAAAAAGGTACATGAGCTTCTTTGCAGCGTTTTTGTTGCGCGTTTCCATTGGGATACAGCCAAGTAGCCCTCGGAAACGCGCGTTTGTCGTGCGTTTTTTACCGTGAATCGCGGTAAAAACGCATGTCACGAAACGCACGACAAACGCACATATTCCATACTCCTAGGTGTGAACAGAGCCTTACTGCTGTGTGCTTTTCACATTTAGGAAAAGCTGTATGTATGCGGTTAGGTCGACATAATGCCTGCAACATGTCAGTCTCTGTTACTGCAGTAATGTGCTTGCTCCACCTTCTACCAGCCAGTGCAGAGAAGAGAAAAAAAGACGCATGGTTGGTCGTGTGACCCCTTTTTTTTCCCCTCTTTAGGGGGGAAATATAAAAATATAGATTGCTGCACACTCGGGTTCTGCCCCCAAGTAATTACTATTCTTTCATGGCGGCTGCAAAATGTAGAATCTCCGGTGAGGCTGTCCGCCATGTTGTATATTTAAAGGTCGAATCCCTATCCAGGAGCAGACACACCACAAGCTGCCACTCTTACGCCCGTGACTCACTGCAAGTGAAGCCGAGCGCAGCAAAGCTGCAAGGTACGGACGTTCGAGGGCTTGAGTAGCTGAGCTCGGCAAGATGTAAGACTTCATCTTCAGCCAATCGGCTCACACGTAACAACTCAATGGACTTTGCATCCTGACGCGCGGGTTTATAAGCGCAAGCTGATTGGCTGAAGATAAAATTTTTCATCTCTGTACGCTCAGCTATGTGAGCTCTCGCAAGCTGACGTCCCGGGAACAAAAATTGCAAGACGCACTGCACACTTCCCATTGCTCCGCATTGCTTCGTGTGCAGTGTGTCATGAGCTTTAGTGAACAAGGTGATGACATTAGAATGGGCTTAGTCCTGTAACACAATGAAACTAGATTCAGAGAGGCACAGGGGAGAGGCTTTTGTAGCTAACAAAAACAGCAGCAAGTTTCTTATTGGTGTCTGCTCTTAGGTGGGACTTTTACTTTAAAAAATGTAAAATGGTAATTTACGTGTAAATAATGTTATTAGTAAGGATGTGTCGGTGAAATAGAATTTGCCACAAAATTACCAATGCTGATGACATTTTGCCAAAGTGAAGACTCCATTTTGGTCATGAGCCACTCAGGCAAAAAATGTTTTGTTTTTTTTGGTTTGTTTTTTAATGTTATTGGGTACGGAGTATTTGTTTTAGTGTTTTGTGTGTATATATATATATATATATATATTACACACCAAAAAAAAATGTTTTCATTGTTACCTTTTGTGGAAAAAAACAAAATTGAGACTAATAAGGGGACATATTTTCACCAAAACAACAGGTCCAGGAAATTTCTAATAGGAGTCCATCATCCTAATGAGCCTTAAAAGCCAATTGCATTTTAGGTACAGTGAGGGGGATTTATCAAAACTGGAGCAAGCCAAATCTGGAGCAGTTGCTCATAGTAACCAGTCAGCTCCTTTCTTCAGTTTGTTCAGTTGACATTTGAAAATGAGAGAGAGAAGCTGATTGGTTGTCATGCACAGCTGCTCCAGATTTGATAAATCCCCCCTCAGTGTCTTTTAGTGTTTTGTATTTTTCTATGTATATTTGTGCACTGTCACTTTACATGTATTTTCCTATTTTTTTTTTCTTCAATGTTTCTTTATGGGGGAAAAAATTGAGGCCAATAAGGGGATGTATTTTTTCCAAAAAACTGCTTTAGGACCCATTCACACCACATCCAGATCTGCTGCGGACTAGTCCAGATTGTTTTCAGACCCAACATGCATCCCAATGCTATCTCTGGCCTCTGCTCACACCAGCGCAGTCCGTTCCAGACCAGAAAAACAATGCTTGTCTCATTTTGTCTGGTCTGGAATGCACTGGAACTGCAGACAGGTTCCCACCATTTTCCGGGCCATATCTGGTCTGGAAAATGGTGTGAACCTGCCCTTCGAACATTTGTAATGAGCGTTCATAATCCTTATGAGCCTTAACATCCATTTGCATTTTAAAAACCACATTTATCTTGCCTTCCCTTTTGACTCCAATGCATTTCAAAATGTTGCCAGGCTTCCAACTTTTCGATTTCTAATCTAAACACCAAGTGGGTGTTCTGGGAACAGGGTTAGCTGAGCTGCTGTGAAAATGAAGCATGGATTGGTCCACAGTACCTGCAGCTAGAAAGGTAAGAGAGGGCTTTTTATAGAACTCGTGCATTAAGGAAATGTAAACACTTTTTATAACTGTCCATAGCCCGGCCAAGATTCACTTTAAAATGTAAAGCTCTCCTTGTTCACTGGCCACTGGGTTCTAGCCCCTGTCTGTTCATGCTACATGCCAACGGCCCTGATGGCTAGTACCTGCTAATTCCGGTTCATCTTTCTACTGATTTGGACCAACCAGAACAGCCCTTGATATACACAGTTGAATGAAAAAGGCATAGTAATGCATAGTCCTATGTGAACGACTGATAGCTGCCTATTGTTACAAATGGAAGACGCAGATATGTGGGTCATCTTATACAATTTCAGTTCTATGTTCTTAGACCTAATTTTTCACAAGTTATCACTATAAGCTTCGATCTTACTTGACCTAGTAACTGAATCTGTCAGATTTTTTTTTTTTTTTCCCCCCTTAAAGTCCTGCCTAAAGGAGGCACCAGAACAGGTTCACTATTAATTTTGTTGGCCAGAAACCCTTCCTTGTGTGTACTGCGGACATGAATCTCCCTCAGTTACTAAGAACCTGATATCTCTAACCTCAGGGCTGAGCGCCACCAACTGCTGTCACCCTGTTCAATGAAAAGCATCAGTGGCCAGTAGTTGGCAGATCTTAATCCTGCAGTTAGGGACTACATGTAATATGAAGGGAATTCTTCACATATGAACTCATGCCTATAAGACTTCTGATATACACTGAGTGGCCAGATTATTATGACCACCCCATCAGTACTTCGTTGGGCCGCCTCATGACTCCACGAGATGTTGAAAGGTGATGCGAGGAATCTGACACTGCACTGTTGCCCTTCTGTTGTCTTGTACCAGTCTTGCCACTCTCCGTTCTGCCCTAACATTGACTAGTCGCTGACGGCCACAATTCGCATGTTCAGACCCAGATTTTGGGCTGACAGTCCAGTCTTTAAACACTTTAACAACAGCTGCTCTTGAACATTTAATGAATTCTGCTGTTTTGCTAATACTCACTCCATGGCTCGCGCCAACAATCATCCCACGTTCAAAGGCTGTTAAATCGCGTTGTTTACCCGTATCTTCAGAAAAAAATCACTTCTTCTGTCGTGGTAAACAACCTGCTGCCCTATTTATAATGGTCTGGCCCTCTAGTAACTTTAGCGCCAAATTATAGCTAATTTGCCTACAAACGTCAGGTGGTCATAACATAGTACAAGATGTCTGCCTACCCCGTCCAATGATGAGGGCAAAAATGGGACTCTCACTGGACAGCAAAGCAGCAGGACGTAGTCCTAAAGTGGCAGGACTACAGACCACTAGTAACAGTCCTAAACTACTTTCAGAAAGGGATTTGGGAGTTAACAAACCCCTGCTAAACCCTTGCTACTTTCACCAAATAGGCAGTAAAGTATGCCTGAGAGTAGGTAGTGATATTTTAGAGCACTTAGTACATCACTTTTCATTCAAAGTGCCAGAGTCCAGTCCCATTTCTTTTTCCACGCAATAAAGAGATCTCACATTTTTACTTTTCTTCTGAGAGTGTTGGAAAGAATACCTGACAGAAGTATCTCCCTTAATGCCAACAATTCACTTTGTTCTATACTTGTATGGAATTTCTATGTCCAAAAAAATAGTTTCCTGCACAGACATCTTTGTGTCTGTGGCACGGTATAGAGGATTTCATCAATCTTTCAATATAAAGGAAGTGGAGTTTACTGATGTTGGACTCACTGGCTCATTTTCACTGGCAGAGAAGTCTGTAATCCTCAAATGATGTCCTGGCTCCAACTCTGTATCCTGTGAATGACCGCCAGTTGGGTACTCACAAGAAGATTGATGTAACTGTGTGGATCCAATCTGAGGTCTGTAGCCAAAGCTCTCCTCATACGAGTCCTCTGAATTACCAATGTAGTTCTCATTGAAGAATTCCAGATACGTGGGTGACTGTGGCTTGTATAGAAGCTCCTCTGTTGTTTGATTAAGAGGACTTCCATGTTCACTGCTATTAGGAAAGTACATAGCATCAGAGGTTTCTGTACTGATAGTATTGGGGGGTCTCTGGATGGTGGAATACATCGTTTCTGTTTGCTGGTCACTTTCTTTCAGGTCGTGGCCACTGTCCACCTTCTTCAGAACAGTAACACGTTCCACCTCCTGAGGAATGCTGGTTACGTCTGGTAGGATGCTAACGCATGCTGGTCCCTGTTCAACAAAAAATGTATTTTATAACCTGGCCGGGTTTAGCAGCTGTACACGTGCGGTTACCTGCAATACATTTATTTCCATCTTTAGTAGAAACACAATCGCTCACAGAATCGGATTTACACAATATTGGTAACCATGAACGCATCAAGAAAAGGTTCTTTGTTAAAGAAACAAATGTATATTTGTAATACCTGAACAATGCCTGCATCCAATCAGATTTTTCAGATATTTTGACATTCATCCGCGCCGACTAGCAAGATACTGAAGCTTGGCCCAGCGGTAGAATCCTCCAGCCACACAGTTTAGTGTAGGTGGAGGAATCTGTTGCACTTTTTCCATCTGACCATAGAAAATCTGCAGATAATCTATAGGTGTATGGCCAGCTTTCGGCTTCCCCTATATAGCGAGATACTTGTAAGGGCCCAAGTCTTAAGGCCTGCAAAGTCCTAAATTGTGGGCTAGTGTCAAGAGAGGAGTGTGGTGCGAGGTCCCAAAATGTGGGCTGTGGAAGGTCTCAGCTAGACATGTAAGCTGTGGAAAAGTTTGGTTCGGATATTTATGAATCCAGATCCGAAATTTGTTTCGGATTCGGACGAAATCCCAATTTTTGTTAGTTTCGCATGAGTTTAGGATTATTCGTTGCAAAAACCACAGAAAACCATATACAGAGAATACTAAAGCTGAAGCTCCGAATACCATTCGGGAGCTCCAGAGAGCAATACAGGTCTGGAAGCCATATTAAAGCTGAGGCTTCCAGACCCGAATGGCCTTCAGGAGCTCCTGAAGGCCATTCGGGTCTGGGAGCCTCAGCTTTAGTATTATATGTAGATACTGCATATGGCTCCCATGTTGCCGTAGCGAAAATTAGTGTTCAGATCCATTCATAGTTACATAGTTACATAGTATTTGAGGTTGAATAAAGACATTAGTCCATCAAGTCCAATTCAGATGCATTAAACTGAAAAACTCATCTGATTGGCCAGAAAAGTCACATATCCGATTCAGTTTCCTTTTTAAACAAAATTCGGACTGGATTCGGAAATGGAAATTCAGATTTGGACGCATTTGGATGCATTGAGATTCAGATGTGTCCGAATTTCAGAAAATTCATCCGAATTTGGATTCGGATTGAAACAAATCGCACGTGTCTAGTCTCAACACTGTCTTGCGTCATGCCAGAATGGGCACATATGTTGCCATCTATTGTTCTTGGGTAGTCATGTTGATGTGTTCATCCATCCAGTCTAATTTTTGCCCCACGTGTATCACTTTGATTTTTTCCGTTGAATCTGCTTTGAAACTGATCAGCCCGGTTGGCGTTTTTAAAAATCTTTTTTTTGTAATGAGATCATCATTTAGGACTTGTTCATATTATCTCTGCTGATCTATGCAGATTAATGAAGCTCAACGTAAGCTCAACTCAAGGGCACATAGAAAACAAATGGTATGCAAATAGCCATTTACCTTTGGTGAACTGAATGAGAGGACTTTGCTCTTGTTAGGTTTGGGAATATTCGGATAACATGTTTCTTTCAAACTGGTGGGAAAAAAAACATTTATAAATGAATATAGTTACTAAAGCTGAAAAAGACTTGTGTCCATCATGTTCAGTATTTCATGTCTGCCATTTTGGTTCAAATAAAGACAAAACAAACTCCCCATTGAGGTAAATGTTTTTGAAAAACTAATTCCTGACCCTCCAAGAAGAGCCGGATCATTTCATGGATCAAAATATTTCCATATGCTTTAAGAATTATGACTGAATATTACAAGTTAGTCCTTCTTTAAGGGATATCTATATATGTTGTCACGCTGTCTGGCCTGCAGTCATATTAGCAGTTTAATACCTCAACAAGTCAAAACTTACAATGTTTTCATTTGTACCCTCTACTCTCTGATGAGCAGATGTGGCACTGCACTAGATGTGCCGAAAACAATTTATAATAGAGTGAATGAGCTGGATTTGCCTTGGATATAAGTCATTATACAGTATATTTCTGCAGAGACAGAAGCTCCATACAGACACATAGACCAATGAACATGGAATGAACAATAGCTGTAACACCAAATCATTGTGATATAGGGATCAGCCATTGTCATATCTACCGATAATCGGGGCTGATATTCCCAAATGTTTTAATTATAGGTATTAGTTAAATGTACCGATAATTGACTGAAATTCTCACAGTAGGTGCTGCTGTCTGCTGGTCAGAAAATCTATGTGCTGCCGGCTCAGTTCGGGTATTCTGACAGTGGCCGGTGGCTCCTCTGTTGATTGAAAGCAGGCAGTGGGCAGGTTCATTAGCCAGCCTGCCATTGGAATTTTAAATAGCAAATAGCAGGCTGGATATTGCACTGACCACTCCCTGCTGTTTACATTCTGCTGCCGACTGCGAAATCCTGTCGCCGACAGATGAAGGGGGGTCAGAGGCTCAGTAGGGATCGACCAATGCTTACATTCATCTGCTTGTGCAGCTAGATGTACACAGAATATCGGTACCTGATATCGGTTATTGGCCTGAAAGGTGGCCCATAATGGGTATCGGTTCTGAAAAATGGTCGACCCCAAGTATAATATATGTACATCTGTGATGTGTATTTGACATTCAGAGCATAACAGCAATATTTCCTCATTTTATAATGTTTTTCGTTTAATTCTTAATTTCTATATTGTTGACATATTTCATGTCAACAATACTGAACTATTCGCAATGACTGGCAAAGGACTTGAATATGTAAAATAGAGACAGATAAGCACTCACCATGCCCTCTTCCAGCATCCTGCAATGAGTAATATGACCACCAGTACTGACACTATGATCACAGGTAGGAGGATGGACATGATCATTGCTCCCGCTAGAGAAGAAACAGGGGTTCTATTAGCATTGGTCATCTCTGAGCCTGATGAAGGGGACCCTGTGTGGCCCCAAAAGCGCTTGCTAATGAGAGACAGCATTTGTCAATAAAGAAACACTTAATTGCTGATTATCATCGTGTAGTGTGCTGGTGACATCCTTCAAACTATCTACATGTGGCGGCGCCATCCGCAGTCATTTTGAGCAGCCGTCTACATACTATGGGAATCCCGCTAAGGAGTGCGGCAAGGTTTCTCCTTTCCTATTAGCAAACATGCCTGAAACAAGCCCATGGACTGCTATAAGAGTCATATTGTCTATTTATACTAGCCAACACCGTCTGCTAATCATTCTTGGGGTAACAGCTGATTGGGTGGATTAAATTCTGAGGCTTGTCACCATTGGTTCCCCTGGGACTGAACTGGCACTGAGGTTGTCTGTAAACTTCTGGCCTGCTTCATGAACATGTATGCTCAGTGTGCACTTCCCAGAAGTTGGACTGTAACTGCACATGTCATGCATTTCACGCATCTCATGATAAAGGCTCATAGATTGATCTGCTTCCATTCAAACAGAAGCATCCTGGCAAGTGTATGAATACAAAGTAACCATTGTAAGCACCCCTGGTCCAACCCCTGTCACCCACATATTTACTGGACAGTTTGGCTTGCATGTCAGTGTAAAGAATATAAATTAAAGGCATCAGAAGTAAAAGATACATTTATATATTAAGTATTATCATCATATATAAATCATGTACAGTTATCAGTGGTCCTGTAACTATAACTTAGACACACTCACCATCTGCTTGTGTGGAAGCTTTAGTAAATTGTATGTCGGTTTCACCTCCACCTGTAACAGCCACCACCGCAACTTGATATTCTGTATTTGGTTTAAGTTGGCGGATGGTGGCATTCATTATTTTTGGGTCTTTAATAAAAAATCTGCACACCTCTAGACCATCTGTAAAAAGCATAGAGAGATATCAAATTGTAAGTTCAGCTTTTATATACCCTTCAATCCTATTTACATCTTCAAATAAAACCTTTCATGAGAGCATGTGGGCTACCAATACTGAGCTCTCCTGACAATGCTGGTTGCCTGGATGTCATACTGACCATCTTTCCTAATGGTTTGACTCACTGACCTGAAATAACTTGAACGTTTACAACTGTACAATTTTGGGGTTACTCTTACCTTTCATACCAGTGATAATAGTAACAGAGAGAATCAAAAGGAGTAAACCTCCCCAGTGGGAATAGAGTCAGCAATAAAAACTGGTGGGTCGCAATCCCGTGTTCAGTTAGTCGCCACATGCCTTCCACTGCACTAGGTGAGAGGCTCCTCAGCCTTCCCATAGCGCATCACTGTCAGTTCTTGCACCAAGCAGCCATTCAAAATATGCTGCTGAGTATCTGCTTGAGGTGGGCTGGGGGTATGGCCACGAGGGAGCTCCATCCATATGTGTGTTGCTTACAGCTCCCTCACGTGTCCTGTAGAGCTGCCTGGACCAAAGTGATGTCACATTCTGGATCCCGGCACCTCTACAGGGCATGCAAGGGACCTGTACAACAATGCACATTTGGATGGAGCTCCGTCACAGCACAGCAGCATACACTGGACACCAGGCTAAAGATTCACTCCAGTTCTCGTAAGGTAGGAAGACTGGGTGGATCTTAAAAAAAAGAAATTACACTTTGGAGTGTGTATTTGTGTGTGAGATTGTGTCAGTGGTTGTGTGTATCTGTCAGTGTTTTTGAGGGACTGTTCACACTAACACACTGAAGTGTGTTAATTGCACAGTCCCATGTGATTAATGCACTGTTCCATGCAACTATACCTACTGTGTGGGAGGTGCATTTCATTGCCATTCATTTGAATGACACCCCAACTGCACCTCCTGCCGACAGTTCCATCACCCGCACTGGAATGTGCGGTACCGCAATGGTGTGCGCTCCAGTGCGGTGCGACTTGGGTCGCAACTTAACGACCAAGGTCAAATGTGGGTTCACAGGTTGAGAACCACTAGCTTAGTTGACCCAACATTTCGCTCTGAAAATCAAATTTTGATGGATATACTCTTAATACTAAAAAAAACTAGCTTTGATAAGGAAATAACTCCATACAGATTGGCTGTCGCCTTTACATTTGAAAACAATTTTAGCAAACATTGCTACAAAACACTGCACTCTCTGCTAGCTTAAAATGAGCTTCTAATCTTACAGCACATAGAATACCGTAGGATTTTCTGTGAATCACTGCATATAGATCTTATCGATTACCTAAAATAATATGACGATCAGATGCATCCAGTTCACAGTTCCTTCCTAAAGTTTTCACATAGATGGTGTAGCCCATCACAAATCCTTCTTGAGTCTCATCGATTGGATATGGAGACCAGTCCAGGGACAGAGAATTGGCATCGATATTCGTAGTTACAACTTTTGGCTTCTCTGAAGACACTATAAGAGAATTTATTTACTTACTAATGTGGAATAAGTCCTATACAAAATGTGTGTAGTGACACGCTTCATCTATCACCATCACCCATACAGAGTTTACCCTTTATCTTTTATTAAAGCCCAATTAAACTTTCAGTTTAAACACTCTAAGTACATTCCAGGTGCATCAGAAATAAATATCTGCACATGCTCTTTAGAATGCAACCACAACCAGTGTAGGAAAACCTGTCCCCTGCCAGAATGCCATAGAGTGGAAACTTTTCTCTTTGGGTGGAAGCAGTGGTCTCCCTGCAGAGGTCCAACACCTCCCCTGCCAAGTCAGAGCTAGAGCTCTCCAATGAGCAGGGAGCATGAGCTTTGCCAATTGTAGAGCTATAGGTATGACTCAGCAGAGGTGTTTTGGACCACTGCAGAGTGACCACCACTTATACATAGAGAGCAAAGGTCCTTCTCTACAGCATGCTAAGAAGGAGGCAGAAGCTTTATTACTCAGCATGTAGCTGCTTTCTAAAGACAATGCACTGTAAGACTTTGCACACCTTTTAATATGATGCATCTGCAATGTATTTAGCAGCTTTATACTAAAAGTTGAGCTGAGGAACTATCATTTCAGAATTCATCTGCAAGTGTCCCCTTTGGGTGAAAGCAGGTATGACATCCTGAACAAGCACATCGCACAACTACTGTAACTAAATGGTTGGACTTCAGTCTGCAAAGTTCTGTAAATAACAGCTGTATAAACGTTCCTCCAGGCACCTGCTAGTGGAGGGATCCATGCATCTGAGTTCCTTGAGCCACCCATCTGCTGTGGCACTTACAAGGGAGTCTCTCATTTAATATTGTATATACCTATATTTTATTTATAGCTAATTAATAGAAAGCAATGAGACTACTTAGTAAAGAGGTGGAAACTGCAGCCTAGAAATATCATGTCTGAACCCCCCTCTGTGGTATAAAAACCTACAGGGTTATATATTCACTAAAGGGTGAAGAGTTTGGAGAAGGCAGGAGAAGTGAAAAATCTAGGACAATGTAGCTGAACTGGAGAGTGAGCTGAATTGGAGAAAGTTGTCATAGATGGTTCATGTCTCCTGCCTTCTCCAAACCCTTCACCCTTTTGTGAATAACCCCGTCAGTGTTAGCCCACCAGACTCCTCCCTTACAGTCAATATATTTTGAGGTAGACTGACCATTTAATAAGAAAAGCATAACTTAAAAGGTCAGTAACACACAGCAACCAATCAGACGTCAGCAATTTCTCCACAGCTCTAAAATAATAAAAGTTGAAAAAGTTGGGCTGACATTTTCCTGCACCTGTCTTTGGTGTGTCTCATCTACTACACCCAATATCCTTTTACTTACCCAATTCCTCTGTATACCCAGTCAGCTTCTCCAGTAAGTGCTCCCCATCTTCTTTAGATCCATAAATTCTAAAATTGTATCTAACGCCACGCTGAAATGACTCTGAGAAATGAAAAGAGAAGGAAGCTATAAACTTTCATCACTCTGAAGTGCTAAGCGTCTGTAAACTCTAATGACTGAAAAAACAACATTTAATTTTCAGGAATCTGCATTTAAAGCCCATTTGAAGTCTCACACTCTGTTGTTATTTGTGACTATTTGTTGCTAGAAAAGTCCCTAAAATACCTTTTCTTTTCTCAATGGAAATGTTGATTTCTGCTTCAGTGTTCTGTGCTCGCAAAGCTCAGTAACAGCCACACCCCTCAGGACAAGTATCCTCAAACAAACTTGTACCAGCTTTGTTACTTTACAGAGTGCCTATTGGACTATACAGTCCTATTTAGACACCCAGCTCAACTGTTATAGCAGGAAAATAGAGCTAAGACTATAAAAATTTAAGTTTTTAGTATAATTTCTATCTGACTGCATATCTATTTCTGTCACTGCAATTGAGCTTTCATGACTTGAATGTTTTTTTACATTTTTACCAGAATGAATGACATCTCCTTGGCTGCTAGAATTATACTTTTTCCATTGAAGAGCACAGTGTGGAGACCTGGGAGAGTTGCACCACTCCACCACATAGCCATACACAGCAGGAACTGGTCTCCACGTTACATTGATCTCCCCATCTCTGCCATGTGTTCGTTCTGTGTTCACTTCCGTATTGCCTACAAGCAGAGCACAAAGACATCCTTTATATGGGAACAGCATATAGAAATGGCAGCTAACAGACTATCTCCTGGCTAACCAGGCGGAGGTAGCCAAACTTTTGCTCTCTACAAGTGAATCCAATACAACCGTGTAACAATGTGACTGCATAGAGAGTGTACATCATTGGCTACCAGTAAGAAATATCTTCTTTAAGCTCTCTAGAAATGTTTAGCCAATTTTCTATTGTTCCCATATACAGCAGAGCTAGGTTGAAGCTGCAGGACAAACTCTAAGAGGGATTCACCTCCACTTTACGAGCCAGTGTTTGGCCAACTTGTGTAAAAAGAATCTCTTGATGGCCTTGAGTGTTCCCTATAAGAGGATGAAAAGCCTTAGTAATGGAACGTTTCACGGATTACTAGGCGAGTCACTGTTCACTGCTGGGCACTGTGGTTCCTCAAACTGGTCACTGTGCTACTCTAGGACACAGTAGTAATGTAGCAACTGGATGGTCCTAACAGCTCCTTTCCGGCCCACCTAAAGAGTTGAAAATGGGTAAACATCCCTTTGAAATGTTTTTGGAGGGAGATTTTTATTTGTACACTTTTTTGCAAAGAGCTTCCCCAAAGCTTGTGATGAAACAGCGCAAATAACCGAAATCATTGTCTACAATACCGAATTGTACTTTATATAGACTTACTGCTCCCGTTTGTTCCTGGGACCTTTATCTCAGCCGCTGGAGACACACCGGCCGAATTCTGTGCTGTGATGCAGATGGCGTGAGCTTGTGTTCCAAGGTCCATACTGTAGCTATTCCGATGAGCAGACACTCTAGTTTTGTTGGCTATGATATTGCCACCGAGCGGCCACCATTTAATATTATAGTGAGAAATGTTTCCATTGGCGCTGAAACCTGAAGGATGCTAAAAACACAAATCAAGTTACAAGACCATGCAAAGCGAACTAGACTCTAAAAACACATGACCTTAATACTTCACAACCACAGATCCCAAAGAGATCTCACACTCAGTTCACAAATCTAATACACCAGAATAAGGAGACTTATTGGAAAAAGTATTAAAAAAGTGACAGTTATTTTCAGTTGCATCCAATGAGATTTGAAAATTACAGTCACATGCAGGGCCGCCCTATAATGAGGCAGGCTAAAGGTGCCCACACACCTTTCGATAATTATACGATCATCGCGGGAAATCACGCAATCGTACGATTTTCGCAAGGTGTGTGGAAGGCGTGCAACCTCTCCTACTGTAAGGTCGCACAACTTTTATCTTATGAACATGTTCGAAAACCCGCCGAGAATCTAACGATTGTCGGCGGGTGTGTGGCATGTTCGGAAGATAAAAGCCGCACTGGCCGGTGTGCGCAAGCGCACACTGCGCGTTTACCATTGCGGTCATCGGAAGCCCGACCATCAGGGGGGCGGGCTTGCGATCATTGCAAGTATGATCTGCCTGTCCAAGATGGGCAGATCGTACGTTTTTTTAATTACCTTACAACCATCGCAAGACAAAAGTTCTGCGATGGTTGTAAGGTGTGTGCCCAGCATAAGGCAGTTGTCTCAGGCCGCATCTCATTGGGTCATTGGGACAAAGTGTCCCAGGCTCCTAAGTGTTCCTAGAAACCTGTGACGCTATGGTCGGCGTGCCACCCAGCTTACTGACAACAATGGATGGCAACCAGTTACATCTGTAAACTGGGCGGGATGCTGTGCACCACAATTGACCCACGCACCTCCAGTCTCAGGTGGCCTGACGTTTAGGGACGCCCCTGGTCACATGGCTAAAATAAAGATACATAACCTTGTGTTAAAGCTTTGTAGTTTGAGCTAATCTAATGCATATTACAACTTCATAATTGATAACTAACAACATTGATAACTAACAATAGATACTGGTGGACCGAATGTTATTGGAATGCCAACGATGAGGTCTGCCAGCTGAAGTTCCTTGATGCTTCCCTGTCCTCCAGTCTCATTCCCCCAGCTGCATTCTCTATAAAGGTAGAATAAATTAGATTAAATCCCCAACAAGGAGAGTGAGACCCCTATAGAGGTCCCTCTTCTCTCCCAAAAACGTGTTTTTACTCTGAGGTTTACATAAATTCCCCTTTTTTCACCATTTATTGTACAATTGTAAATAATTTCCTGGCACTGTGACTCAAGGATATGAATGCCAGTGAAATCAGTGGGCGGAGCTGGGAACACAGACCCAGAGATCTCATTGCTTCATCTGTTTTCCTCCATCCAAAGTGAAATATATTTGAGTGGACGAAGTTCTAGAATACTTACTTTCCAGTAAAGTGTCACAGTTTGTCCACTTTCATTATGATGAATTTCTCTCCAAACATCAAGTGGAGCAGACGGTGCTATAAAAATGCAAAATAAGAGAGAAATCTTGTGAGGTGTACACAATGCACATTTCATCAGTACAAGTCATTATAAGGGACAATTGCCACTGTGTCTGTGAAGGTTCTCATTCATCCAGGTCATAGTATATCTGTAAAAAATTAGTCAAGGCAACTGGACTTGCTGTAATTTTCTTGAAGACGTTTCATTGGTCATCCAACCAGCTTTCTCAATTCAGAATGACTTGTACAAAAATGATCTGGGAATAAATATGGTGAATGTTGCTCCAATCCACATAATCTGTTAGGTTAGTGGCACCAGGTAATCAACACCTGGTTGTGACTAACACATTACGTGGATTAGAGCAACATTCACCATATTTATTCCCGGATAATTTTTGTACAAGTCATTCTGAATTGAGAAAGCTGGTCGGATGACCAATGAAACGTCTTCAAGAAAAATACAGCAAGTCCAGTTACCTTGACTTATTTTTTACAGATACAATTGCCACTGTTATGTCTAGAAGCAATGAAAATGGCCTACTATGTTCATATATCCTGTCACTGCGGAGAGCAGCAATGATCTGCAGAATGTGCCGTTACTACATTCGGAATGCTGTGACTGCCACCAATCAGATTCCATGTTTCATCAGTTAAGAACGGTAAGACCAATGTAGGATCCAATCTATTTGACTTCCATGGGCTCCGGCACTTTGCATATTGCTCTTGGCTTTTTAAAGCCCAACCCCAAGAATTTTTTAAGATCCCTTCCCTGGTTAAAAAAAAGGATGGAAAGCAAAACTACCCTCTCCCCCCTTCCGGAACTGCACTCTTATGGACCCAGACACCGGTCCTCCATTGGGCTCAGGGTGGGAGCACATCATTAAGCCGCCCAGAGGATTGATTCAGAGAACAGTGCCCACATCCTTACATAGTGCTGTTCTCCGCATCAGACCACCGCAGGAAGAAGAGGAAGAGGGTGGCGAGAGGTCACATGGTTGGACTGAAGACAGTACTAACAAAGTTATATATACCAAAGAAAAAGCAATCGGTGGGGGGGGGGGGGGGCTGTTCATTTTTTGG